GGTGTGTGTAACCACCACATGTTTACAACAGCTCTGAAAGGCCCCAGCCTTAGTCAAACCCAAACCTCTCTAACCTGTGCGCTGCGACTTCCTCGCCGTCCCGTGGGGAGTCAGGGGGAGAGGACTGCGGCGTCATCTCAGAGTCTGGCGTGGCCGGCATCTGCTGCCCTCCAACGATCGGCTCCACTTCACTGTCTGTGTCACTCTCAGAGCTGGTGTAGTCCGGCCAGTCTAAAAATGAAAGAGCAAATAATTTGTTTGACATGTTTAACTCAAGCTCGCTATACAAGATGAAAGACAGAAATTGATAGTGTGTGTGAGCATGTGTGTATGTGTAAGTGCACATGTTTGTGTGTAGGTGTGCTCATACAATTCAGGGCTGGGTGCCTGAGAGAAGATCTGAGAATGAAGACAAATCTAATGCTAAAGAAAACAAACCTCTTCCACTAATACTGCTTGGATTGAAACAACAAAAAACAAACGGTCTCTTCAAATAGCTCTGCTATAGTCATAGTTCAGAAGTATTTAAACCCTTAAAGATTTTCGGACTTTCAAACCAAAAGATGATAGAAAGATAAAAAAAATAATCTAATATGTAATCACCCAATGTTGCCTCAACAAATGCCCAACTGCAAGCCTTGGAAAGACTTCAGAGACATCAAGCAAGAACAAAATGGTCAAAACATTCCATCAGAAAAATGAACTACCGTGGTCGTTGCCATAAAACAGAATTCCAAGAACAAAAACTCATTCCAATATCAGCAGCACTCACCATTTTCGTAGGCGTTCATGGTCCCGTTGCTGAGAGCTTGGTGCTGCTGTTTCTGTGGGCGCTGCTGCTGTGCGACAGCCATGTCGGGGTGGTGGTGCTGTGGCGAGTGAGTTGTGGTCTCCTCGTGGTAGCTGTGCAGCATGTTCCTCTCCCCCAAGAGCTGCATCACCAGAACCTGCAGCTCCCCCAGTTTGTCCTGTGGACAACGTGCACAACAGGAACTTCATCATCATCACTACTTTTCTCCCCTTGCACCAGGGTATAGACCGTGAACAAACACTTTCCACCTTTCCCTATCCTGACTAGCCTCATGACATTATTCCATGTCGTCCCTTTTTTTTTCTGTACATCATTCCCTATGACTTCTTCAGGTTTCAAATGGTCCTCCCTTACAAGATTTACAAACTCGCAAACTAATACAAATTACTGCATAATGTTGCATTAAGTTTCTCTCTATTATAGGTCTGATCCTTCGTTCCATTATCATTATCCTTGTGTACGTTTTCTTTGAGTGGTTTGGTAAAGACATGCCCCTGCCAATAGTACAATCATGTTTGTTTCTTTTTTTCTTCCATATCAGTACCACTATGCCCTTATGTCAACCTTCTCGGTATTTACTTCACAGAAAAATCGATGACCACCACATCTACCCATCCGAACAACAAACAACTTCATTCATCCCATGCACCTTACTTCATCCACACTACTCTACCCTGCCTCTCACCTGTAGCTGTTCCCTGTCTCGGGCCAGCTGAGCAATGTAGTCGTTCTTCTGTGTCTCTCGCTGCTGCAACAATGCCCTCTGGTGGTGGTACAATGAAATGTACTCGCCTGAAAATAATAAAATGTAAATCCTTTTACAAAGTGTCGTTACGACGTGAGTGGAGGACAACAGTTACCCAGGGTGCACTGTTGGCTCAGTACCAAACTACAAAATGATGCAAATGACCTTCATTCTAATTCTTTAACTAATAGGGCAAATGACCTTGGTTCAAATCCTTTTGATAGAGTTCTTAAACTTGGCTTGTGGCTTGTTGGGGGAGTTTCTGCTGAGTCGATATCTGCTTGCTTCAGTCCTACTAGAGATGGAAGTCAAATCAGACATCGCACCTCTCGGGCAACCGTACAGTTTTAGCAGAGGCAGTCGTCGTGAAGATTGAATTTTTGTCCTAACAGTGGCATAAGTCAATCCAAGCAACTATCTCACAGCAATATCAGTGTACTACCTGCATATTTGGGTAGGATCTATACAATTGCAGCAAGTACCCAGATGATATTTCCGAGACATAACCTTATTAACTTTACACAATGTCATTAAATCACTCAAAATGATCTGTGTTTTTCTGGTCAAATCGAGCGTGACTTACGTAAGTATATACATTCCATTAAACATATACAATTCAATATTAAAAGTGTCATAGACAACAAAGAACCATAAATAGTGGCAAAAACAGGCCTTTCTCAAACAAAGAAAACAACAGAGACAGCAGCAGCAACAACAACAACAATAACAACCACAACATGACCATCATTGATGAGGAGCACTCTTCTACGGGTAGCGGATTGGCACAGCAAACATATTACCGACTCCGTCACCATACCCACTCACACAAAATCGATAGCAGCAACCATAACAAATCTATGGTAAGCAACAATAACACCAACAACAACATATCTATGGTCAGCAACAATAACACTACCAACAACAGCAGGTCTATTGTCAGCAACAATAACACCGCAAACAACAACAACAGACATGATAAGCAACAACAGATCTATGGTCCGCAACAGCAACAGCGACAACAACAGCAAGGACCAGACCTATGGTGTCCGATTCTCCCTGCAGCTGCAGCACGAGGTGCTCCAACTGGTCCGCCTTGTCGGAGAGCTCGGCCTTGTCCTGCATCACGTGCATGTACTTCTGCTGGATCAGCTCCATGGCCGTCTTCAGCTCCTGGTACTCGGACCGGCTGATGCGCTCGCTGTCTGGGTTATTGTCCTCCGCTGTGGGACAAACATAAGATAAGATAAGATACATCTTTATTGTCCAGATCCAGGCACATTGGTTTGGTGTTTCACGTGTACACACACACACACATGGGATGGGAAATATGAGGACGTTTCTCACGGTATTACTGATGATCACATCACCTGCCAGGTAGTCTTACGGACTGTCTTGAATATAACACTAAAATGCATAAAGCAGGTGATGCCTGAATCAATTCAACTGGGCCTGTGGTGGGAATGGTGACTTTAATATTCCTCTTGAAGTCTTTTCAATTACTATAAGTGTGTCAAATGTAAGATAAATGCAGTTTCTGAGACACTTAAATAAACAAGAAAGCCTTGAACATTTTGTTCACACTGCAGAAGTAGAAGGCAAACAAGACAGGAGTAGATATAAACCTCCAGCATTATTTCATCTATACATTGGACTTGCCACTGAAACTGAAATTATATCCTCAGGATAAATTAAAATAGTTTGTTATTCTTTTTACTCCAGTATAGTTACAAAGGATTCTTGACAAAATCAAGTATGTATGACATGAGTCAAGAGGTATCTAGCAAGTACAGAACAGCAGCAGCAACTGACTTTTCCTAATGACCTCCTCCTGAAGGTCAGCGATCTTGATGCCAAGGCTGTCCGACAACTGCCGCTGTTCCTTCAGGCTCTCGTACAGCTGAGTCCGCTCTGTCTCCAGCTGTGCGATGGTAGCCTGTAAGGACTCCATCTGTAGATAAAGGAAAACATGCAAGTGTAAAACACTTTTTAAAAAATAAATAAAGAATGAAAGAATAAAACTCACAATATAACGGATAGTCTGCAAGTGTATAACATTATTAAAGAAAAAAAGGGATGAAAGAATTGAACTCACCATATCACTGATAGTTTACAAGTGTATAACATTACTTTCTTTTTTTAAAGGCGGAAGTATTAAACCCATCGTATCACTGATGGTCTAGGCATTCTCCAAGACGGTATGACATTACTTGTATGTGTATGATATTACTTTTAAAAAGAAAAAAAAAGGATGAAAGAATTAACTGTGCCATTTACTAAAATAGCTTCAAGGCAAACATTTCCCCCCCAACATGCATCTAATGTTTTACATAATCCAAACAGCCTTTAGTTTTCATGTTACAGTGAAAATATCTGTTGCTGTCGATGTCTTACTACCCCTTTCTCCGCTGACGTGAATTTAAGAATGAAGCTTCTTCAATCCTGTTTACCAAGGCTAATGTGGATTGTTTGGGACATATCCAGGCAAAATGACGCGAAAGTTTGATTGAACATCTACCCAACACGGGGCCTGAACATGAATCATTAGCTTTCCTCAGCTTCAGAACTTATTGTCCATGACACAACGTACAAATGCATACATTAAAAATGTCAGACTG